ATCAACGCTTATGAATATGTAAAGGGAGAATGTTAAGAGGATGGGGCCAGACTCTTTTCAGCGCAGCCCAGTGACAGGACAAGGTGCAATGGGCACAAAGTGGAACGCAGGAAGTTCCATCTGAACAGAGGAAAAAACTTCTTCACTGTGAGGGTGACCGAGCACTGGAAGAGGCTGCTCAGAGAGGTTGTGGAGTCTCCTTCTCTGGAGATATTCAAAACCCACCTGGACGTGATCCTGTGCAACCTGCTCTAGGTGATACTGCTTTAGCAGGGGGGTTGGACTAGATGATCTCCAGAGGTCCCTTCCAATGCCTACCAATCCGTGAATCTGTGATGGTGGCCAAAAAAGATGACTGATTTGGCCCTTGCCTATGTAAGAATGCTACAGTCCTTTCCCTTACCTCTTCTGGGTATGTTGTGAAGCATCCTCTCAAACCAAAGGCTGAGCACAGGCATACAGCTCTGTTACAGACAAACAGAAAGCTTGTACAGAAAGAATTTCCCCCTTCCAGTCTTGTTAGCTGAAAACAACTCTTCTGCAGAAAGGAGCCGGAAACTTACAATTTGTTGCAGTATATTTGAGTAGTTAGGCTAATAAATCATAGAGGGAAATAGTTAATTCATAATACAGTTTAGGGGTGAATCCCACCTGCTTCATTACCAGCCCATAAACTGTGAGTTTCTTTACAACATTCCCATTATTCCCATGATTATTCTTGCATTGAGAAAGCCGGGAAATGACAGAAAGAACAGAAGAATGTCTGTGCTGGGTGAGACCAAAGGTCTCATATAGCCCAGTATCCTGTGTCTGACTATGGTCACAGTTCAGGCTTGTGGAAAGAAGAAAAGAAAATGACAAGTTTAGAGTGATGCTTCTTTCAGTGTGCTCTGCCAGCTTCTGCTGCTGTTTGCCTCTGGGTTTTCATCACTCAAGTTTCTGTCTGCATCTGTCCATTCAATATTCCTCAGTGGATTCTTTGATTAGTTTATCCAAAGAGTTGTCTAAAATCACTTTGGTCCTCTCAATACACCACAGCAGTAAGTTCCACATCCCAATCACGTATTGTGTAAAAGTTTCTTTAACTTTTTTTTTAATCTGTTGCCTAATCATTTTCTGAATGCCTCTTCCCTGCCATTCACAACTTTATATACCTCTCCTGAGCTGAAGCTACTCCATACTTTTATTCCTTATTACATGTTCAGATACATGCATCTTGGAAACCACACATTTCCAAGGGCTTTGTGGTATTTTCTTGCTTTAGAAAGACTCTGTTTCCTAAGAGAAAGAAATACAAAGACATTGAAAAAAAAATATAAAGAGCAGAAGCAGTCATTTTAGCGCTAACTAGGTAATTACATATATCACCAAAGGAGAAGTATTTCCAGAAGAACATATAGGAAGAAAAATGGGAGTAACTCTTAGAAGCATACTTGAGCACACTAATCCTTCCCCCTACACACATGTGGGATCTGCTTTCCAACTGCATTGGCTGACTAAAATGTGAGTGGCCATGACAGCTGTAAAAGTAGCAAAGGATCAGTTCAAACTGGCCCTTCTTCTTTTTTTATTCCTCTGGGATACATTAGGCCATCTGTAACTAGAGAGGTAAATTTCTGGAAATGTGCAAAAGGAAGAAAGAAGTCCAAGTTTCTTTCCCCATCTCCTTATTGGGGTTGAGTGTTAGTTGTTTGGGTTTTTTTAAAAAAAAAAAAAGGGGGGGGGGGGGGCATGTTTTAGGAGAAACTGAAATATTAGTAGTAATTAGTTATTCCTTTAATAAAGGAAACATATTATCTCTAATTTATATAAAGCATAGGAAACAGTACTAGCTATAGTCACAAAATAATATATATTGTTTATTTACAAATGACAAATATAGCTACTATTAAAATACCAGCACATGTAACTAAGTTTTGCCTGTGGCCACAATTAAAAGATTGGAACGGACTAGAGGAAGCTGTTTAAAAACAGTAAGACTCAGTATTAATGATTTACTGTCTTTGAGTTATATGGGTTCAACTTAAGCAATTATATAGAGAACATTACAATGCAAATACATA